GGAAAACAATTGGTTCCCATGATCTTCGATGGAGATCATCTCACTAGAGAGAACAATTGCGACCCCACAGATTGGGCTGTTGGGCTGAGACAAAGAGGAGCTCCAGAATTTTGCAGATAGATTTGATTTAAACTATCTTGTGCCTCTGTCAGGCTTTGGACATGAATTTTTGGTTTGGAAACTATGATCCTCATGATTTTAGCCTCTCCCCTATCCATTTTATTTATTCTTGGAGTTCTTTCACCTTCTGTCTTGGTTCCTTCTCTATCCTTCCCCATGAAAATGAGACGCTCACTTCCTTCATTTGAACCTGGGCTCATCAAGATAGCTTTATTTTCTGGGTGGTTTTATCCTACTTCCCTTGGAATCTTGATGATGGGGAGCCTCAGAAGCAGGGAAAGAACACCCTGCACATTCTCCAAGCTGCGAGGATGGGTGAAGAGGTTATTGCCTTTCCTTGTTGTTCTAAAGTCTCACACCCTGACCATGGGGAGAAGAGAGCAGGTAACATTTGTCAGCTCCATGAAGGTGTGCTTTATTTTCATGGAACTTTTTTCTCCCCTAAAGGCAAATATATTTCCTTTGTAGAAGCACAGAGATTGGGCAGGTAGATTTCAGAACCATTTCAGAAAATAGAGTATGCCTCTTGCCGAGCTCAGTTCATACTGCTATCACAAGTAGACCATAGACTGGGTGGCTTAAGCAATAAATATTTATTTCTCACAGTTCTGAGGGCTGGAAGTCCAAGACCAATGTGTCAGCATGGTCAGGTTCTAGTGCAGGCACTCTTCCTGGTTTCCTCACATGGCAGAGAGAGAGAGAGCTGGGGTCTTTTCATGACGTCATAAGGGCACCAAGCCCATCAGAGAGGCTCCTCCCTCGTTAGGTTTGGACCTAATTACCTCCCAAACCTAATTACCTCCCAAAGACCCCTTCTCTGTCTACCACCCCTTTGGGGATTAAGGCTCCAACATATGAATTTTAGGGAGACACAAACATTCACTCCATAGTCCCTTTCCTACTGTAGTTTGCATCTTCTAAGCTTTCCCAGAAGCTGAATTCAGTCTTATTTACCAGCTTAGACTGATGGAGGGGCTCAGATGAGCTGCCTTTCAGGCCAACGTGATGCTTTCTTTCTCTTCACTGGTTGGCATTTTCCAATGACCAAGAAAACAAAAAGGAAGCAGAGGCCTGGAATAGGATAGTAAATGCAACCAGTTGTCCACAGCCACACCTACACGCCTGAGATGTGTCACAGCTGTCCTTTTCTCCATGCAGAGTGCTCATGAGCTCCTAATAAGGGCCGTGCACCAGTGCTTCTTCGATACATTTAGTGTAATTAGGCACACGCTTTTATAGAACACCTTACAAGTGGGCTGGCTTTGAATCTATTTGAATCAGATAATTAGTTTATAGACAGAAAATATATACTGTTTTAATTTTTCCAACTTGAGTAAGGATTGCTTTGGGAATTGTGTGCAGCATACTATAAAAATAACTCCTTTTAATTATATTTATTTACTCAATGTATCACACAGATAGTAGGTAAGTGGAGTGTTGAGGCAGCCTGCAGGGTTGCCCCAAAGCGTCACATTTGTACCAAGGCTGATGATTTATAATGTAATTTCACATCCGGCCTTATCTTATGTTTGCAGGGAACTTTTCAAGGTTTTGTACACCTAGTAAGAGGCAATGCTGGGTCTCAATTTTGGATCTTCTGGCTTCCTGTCTTGTGTTCTTTACAAGCGCATTGAGAAAATCATACAATGGAGTCAAGACAGCCTTATTTGAATCCTCATTCTGACCTTGAGAAAGCCATGTGACCTTGAGAAAGTTACTTAACCTTTCTCAGCCACAATAAATGAAGTCTCCATGGGTTAAGATAGGAGACAATAAACTCGAGACTGTTTTGGAATGTATAAACTGTAGATCTCAAGCCTTACAAGCAACAGGATGCCTGTTAATGTGGAGGTTAAGTGGGGTGCCTGCAGCGCCCATAATTATTATTATTGTTGTTATTAGTAAATATAATTGACAGCTGCTTCTTGACATTTAGCCCAGACAGAGAACCACCTGGAAGTGGATCTTCTGCAACTCTTCATCCTTCTTATTTGTTCTTTCTCCCCCTCCCTTAGCACTTCTTACCACCCAACTGCTTATATAATTTCCTTATTTATTATATCTATTGTCTCTCTCTCCTCCCACTAGAATGAAAGTTTCAGGAGGGATGGATTTTTGTCTGTTTGGTCCACTGAAGAATGCCTAGCATCTACAAGAGTGTCTGGCACATGTTGGTCACTAATAAGTACTTGTTGTTAAGAAATAAATTTTTTTTTGCTCTGCAGATCACTCCAGTGATCTCCTTTACTCACGCAAACGCAGGCTTTCAGGGAAGGGCCGTGGAAGAAGGGGATCAACTTGCAAAGGGAACCTGGGCCTTTCTGTAAAACAGGGAAGGAGAGCTGACTCCTCTTCTACAAGTTGGAATTTGGGACACCTGCTGGGATCTCCAAGGGACCCAGACCCAGACTCAGAGCAGAGAGAGTGATAAGGTCACTGACTTGAGGAGGACAGGGCTTTAGGTTGTTGACATGGTTGTAATGCAGAGGCTCAGAAGTTTGTGAGGAGGATGGCTTCAGCACAACATAGGACTGATTCTGGAAAGACCTCCAGTCCTAGCCCCCTTGGCATCATTTTTCTTTGAGAACAGTGACTGAGCAAAGTATGGTGGCCAAAGATGTACCAAGGTGACAACTTATGTCCTGGGCATCCTGGCAACAGTGAACTGCCATCTTCCCTCAGGTAGTGGGAAGGGAAGGCAGAAATGGATTAATGTGACCCTTTCTTTCTGCTTGGTGTTTTGACTCTCTCTGGGCTGAGTTCGGGACCCAGGGTTCCTAAGAAATTGGGGAGGGTGGGCTAGGGAGCCTCAAGAAGGGATCGCTGAATTCTCTGCTATGAGAACCTAACTAAGAAAGTTCAAGCAATTAATTTGAAAAATAAAAGAAACGTGACCATATTTATACCCCAAGTTGATTAGGGTGGTTATGCCATTTTTTCACATAGGTAACAATAAACATATAGTTTTTATTTGAATATTCTCTCTTTATCTATCTATCTCTCTATCTATCAGCTATCTATCGATCATGTATCATCTATCTATCATCATCTATCATCTATCTACCTATCAATCATCTATCATCTATAATCATCTATCTATTTCATCTATCTATACGACAGTTGTTCTTTTTAAAGCAAACATCCTTGTTTCCTTTTCCAAACCAGCACAGAGTTTAACATAGAACTTCACAGTTTTTTTAAGTGAGAAAGAAATACTACTTATATTTTCAGTTTGCCTCAACTGTCACTGTATTCCCCAATCCTCACTCATACCCTTGAGCTGTATATACACACACATACATATTTGGTGTGTTTAGCCATCACCAGTACATTGTTTATTTCCTAAGATGAATAAACTAGAAAAAAAGTGCAAATTGCCCTTTCACCGAGAGTGTCTCTCAGATCATGCTTTCCAATAGAGAAGAGGCACGAATCCTTTTTCTAAAATGTGTCCATGAAGCTGCTTCCCATAGAATTGAGCATGTGCTGCTTGACTGACTTGGTGAGGGTGGGAGGTGTCTGAGGTTTTAAATACATATGTTTAAAAATGTACTCCCCTCACCCCATGACACGCATGACAGAGAAATATTTTTTTTCCAGGAGTGGAAGCCACTATTTACCACTTGTCATTTCAGTATCTGGGTCTCCTTCCTGTTCTCCCTCTTTTGAGTGGTGTGTGTGTCTGTGTGTTTATGTCTGTGTATTGAGAGAGACAGACAGACAGACAGACACACACACAATGAATATAAATTAGTGACTCTCAACCCTCTTAAAACTGCTGACCCTGGGGCTGGCCCCGTGGCCGAGTGGTTAAGTTCACGCGCTCCACTGCAGGCAGCCCAGTGTTTTGTTGGTGTGAATCCTGGGCGCGGACATGGCACTACTCATCAAGCCACACTGAGGCGGCGTCCCACATGCCACAACTAGAAGGACCCACAACTAAGAATATACAGCTATGTTCTGGGGGACTTTGGGAAGAAAAAGGAAAAAAATAAAATCTTAAAAAAAAACAAAAACAAAAAAACCCCTGCTGACCCTACAGAAGAGTTACATGTGGAAAATAGCCATGGCAGATTTGAATGAAAGGTCCAGTAGAGAGAACAGCCGTTAACTAAATGACACCAAGCACTTACCAGCCAGGCGCTGACTTCCAAAGTAGAAAGGCGGGGTCAGGTGAGGTGGTGGGGTGAAAAGGAGGGTTCCGTTGGGCTGGCGCCGAAAGAACCATGGTCTTCAGTTCCTTCCCACCTCCACAGAGTTTTCAGAACCCAAGTACACATCAAGATCTAGATCCTAACTACACTTTCCACTCTGGCCTAGATGAGGTCTGACCATTTAAAAATGCAACTCTGAGGGAGAGAGGGCAGGACCTCAGAAGACTTAACTACCTTCGGGAGCTCAGACTTCAAATTATCTTATTTCAGTCAGATCCTAAGTGGCAAGTGTTAAACTAAAGGAACATCATTTAGCAAAAGCAAAGCAGAAACTGGTCAAAGGGTGCTCCAGGGAGGCGTGGTGGTGGGGAGGGGATGGAAGGGCTTTTACGCTCTGTGTTTCTAGAATGTTCTCCTTCCCTCAATTTCACGGCACGAAGTCATAGACTAGGATAGTATGTCATCAAGGAGAGGGGTGAGGACCCCTTCCTGTTCTTTGCCCAATGTCATCCAGGCTTCTTTCTCATCTTAGAATTGCTTTTTGGGCCAGCTCTGATTGCAGCATTCTGCTTCAGCCTGCTGGTTTTCCATCTGCCCTCTGGACGTCCCAGAGTTGCTTGTTCCTGAGGCTTTCCCCAGGCTTTTTAGAAAACCAGGCACTGCATCTTTAAGGACAAAATTAAAGAGAAAACATACTTTGTTTTTGTTGTTGAATACGTACTGTATTTAACATCTTTTAATCCCAGAGAAGTGAAATGCAACATCTGTTTGAGTTTATGTAACATCCAAAGACTGACGACTCAGTATTTCCTATTAAAGTCATTTTTAAGGCACTCTGCAGAGCCAGCTCTCTTCTCTTCCTTCACTGGGTTTTTCTCCACACTGGAGCAGAATACCTGGTTTCTCTTTCTTCAAAGTGATACACACATGCTCATGCTTTTAATCTGCTCTTTGTCCTGACGACACCAAAAAACAGCACAATTCCAATTGGGAAACAGTAAAGGAAGGAAATACATTTGTGAAGGGCCAAGGAGGAAGGAAATACATTGCGGGGGGCGGGGGGGTAAGGAGAGTGCAGAGAGGACACATGTAAGTAAATTAACTGATGGGGTGGTGGCAGAAAAGAGAAGGAGCAGAAGGGAAGTGGAACGGGGTGGGATGGGCCAGATGGCTGGTGGCCAGTGAAAAATAGGCTACATTTCCCAGTGAGATTTAAATTAATTTAGCTGGTTCCTTTTTCCACCCCCCCTTTTTAAAGACAGGGCCAATATAGGGGAGGTATCTCAAAATGATGCAGAGTGTATGTAGGTAAGTGTGCTTGCTTGTGCTTCATGCACTTAGGAAGGGCTGATCTTAGAGATAGGTATGATTTGGGGGGCTCTCCAAAGCCCCTCCGATAAAAAATAATCTCCCTTACTGGCCCACAACTGTGCCTGAAATTCCCACCATTAGAGCCACTCCTTCGAATTAAGGCATTATCTGTAGCCCCTATTAAAACGGAAATGTCACCTGGGAGGGGTAACACTCAACTCTTTAGCACCCACTGACTGAACTGTCTGTCACCTATCAGAGAGTAGGACCCTGAGAGATGGGACATAGGGCAGGGACATTCTGGCTAATGGGGAAAGAAGGCTTGGTGGTATGGAATGCAGGAGCGGGACAGGCTGGGCAGCTGAGGGCACGTGTGAAATAGTACTTGCCCTAGGAGGTTACTAAGGGGGAAATCAGTTATCAAAAATACACATCATAGGTTTCCCTAGTGTGTGCAGTGTGTCTAACAGATTGTATATATTACAACATTCTGTGTATATATCTAATATGGAGTTCACTTGGGCCCATTAGGAACACCGTACATCTCTATGGATGTGGATGGTTTGTGTATAGCAAACACACATGTACACACATACACACATTCACTCGTACTCAGCAGTGGAAATTTCATAAGTATGAAGGATGAGATGTCTCTTCTCAGCCATTCGGGAATTGGATGCTGCCTGACTGCTGGGGAAAGGACTGGCTTGGGGCAATGTGACTCCTTCCTCTGTTATTCAACTTGACCCTCATTCAATTCAGGTGGCTCTGCAGAAATGGCCAAGGCTTGGGTTATAAAGATTGGGCATGGGCCTTCCCATCAGGATTGGGATTTGAAGACATGAATGTCACAAAAGTGCCCTTTAAACTTTTGGAATTGGGGAGCCTGGGGAAGGTGCAGATGGAGAGGGAATCTGGCAAGGTGTAGGTTTCTGCTCCTAGAATAGCCAGAAGTCACTTGAGAGCAGCTCCCACGCTAGGTTCAGGAGCCAGTCTCAGGGTATAACCAGGGTACAACCAGGGAGGATGGTGAGGAGCCGGGTGAGACACGTGGGACCTGCCAACTCTCCAGGGCTCTGCTCAGGTTGGTTGACCTGATGGGGGAGGTTCAGTGACAGGGAGGGGCTGGAGGAATGGGAAGAGAACTCTGTCATGCTCAGTGGCCTTTCCCATTCTCTGCACTGGAGAAAGCTGGGGAGATAAAGATGAAGGATGTGAGTGGTGGGAAGAGGCAAAGGCGAGAAGACTCTAGAAGTGGTTCTCAACCCTAGTCTCACATCAGAATCATTTGGGTAACTTTTTAAAAACACCAGTGCCCAGGCTCTACTCCGAGAGATTCTGCTGTAATGAGTAGGGAAGGGGACCAGGCATGGATTTTTTTAAGCTCCTCAGGTGTCTCTAATGTGTATGTGGCGTTAAGAAAATGGCACCAGAGCAGAAAGAGAAGTCTAGTTCCGAGATGGTCAGGCTAGAGCTGGCTGGCTGATCCCCACCTGCAGACATGAAAGAAGAGAAGGGGAGGACTGGCTCTACAGGGGTGGGTGTAGAGAGGATTCTGAGAGCTTTTATCTGGACTGTCGAGCCTCTGCTGACTTGGGTGGTTTTACTGCATCACTTGCTGGTGGTTTCTAACCCTATATCTGATTGAAAATCTGGAAGGAGAGAATTTTCCCCCTTGTTTTCTGTGGCTTCAAAGAGGAATAACTCACTGTGCTCTATGGGGCCAAGAAGACAAATTCCGGGGCTGGATGCCTCAGCGATGGGAGTGGATTTTCTGCTATATAATAAATACATATTTCATAAATAAATAAGTCAGTGAGCAAGCCAATAAATAAGCCAATAAATAAACCAATGCACACCATTTTTGCCCCCTTAGGGTGGTTCTCCCCTCACCCCACTGATCCTGGGGACATACACTTTGCCTTTGGTTACCTGAAGTCACCCAGCCTGGACGTGTAGGGGAGACAGGATTGCTTTGGTCCTGACTCTCTAAGGATCAGAGAAATCTTAAGAGAGTGTTAACATCAGCCACCCATGTGGAGAAGGGAGAAAGAGGAAAGATACATAATCCCTCTGTTTCCCAACCAAAAGTGTAGGGAGGGAAGGCAGGGTTTGGGAACCAAGGCCGGGTCATTTTAGATATCTGGAGTCCAGGCTGACCAGCTCTTCATCCCTGGGCAGCTTCAGTTAGAGGGTTGGGGATGAACTTGATATCTGGATGGACCCAATCTTTCACACAGAAAGATACAGCAGACACAACTCCCACTTCAACACAGCTCCTCAGGAGCCAACCAGCCAGCCCAGCCAGCCCTTGGGGAGTGCTGCATGGCACGTGGTGGGATGGGAGGGGGTATGGGTCATGAGATGGGAGGGTGGTGAGGAGACAGGCAGGATGGCACTCATTTTAATGGGAAATCAGCTGTCCAGGGCTTCAGCTTCTGGAGCCACAGCCACTGCTCATTTCCTCCTCTTAGTCTCTGCCATGTGGTTCTGCTTGCTGGGCGTGCCTTGTCCTACTAGATGACCTGTATGTGGACACGGAAACATGTCAATAAAAAGGGCATTAAGACAGTGACCAAAGAATGTCATTCCTTAAAAGCAGATATTCATAATCTGGGCTTCATAAATAGATTTCAAGGGGACAATGACCCTGAAATTTTATGCAAAATTATGGGTACTCATTTACATATTTCTCTGTAAAGATGGTCTATAGCTTTTATGTGGTTCTTAACAAATAATTAAAATAATATTAAGAGATTCCAGATCGTCTATAGGTATAATACATCAGCAAGGAATAAAAGCATCTACAGAAATGAGTGGGAATTCCAGAGCCCCCAGGGTTTTGTTTCTCAGCATCCGAAGGCACAGGATTTGCAAGAATCACTGATTCACCAGAACCCCACGGCTTCCCCAGTAATCCTGGGCATGGTGCATACTCCAACTGCGCTAAAACTTCTTAAATCCGAGTCTACATTATTCAACTTGAAGTTGTCAATTTTTCTTTGAAAAGAAAACTGTTGACACTATTTTTTTTGGTGAGTACTTGTATATATTGCTTTATATAATAGCTCTGGTCCTAAAGAAGAAGTGGGTGAACTAAGTTTTTAAAATAAAAAGAACATTTTTGAATACATGAAAGGAGTTACTCTGAGGTAAATCCAAGCATTAGACATCCTCCTCTTTGTTCCCTGATGATTTTTTTTTTCTGTTTTGTATCTTTGGATTTTGATATACTGGGTTTGCTTACAGGGAGGTACTGCTATAATGATACAAGGCTTTATGATTACAGATGAATGCTGTTGCCTTTTCAGACTTTATGCATGGTTTCAGTTTTAGGAAGAAAACAAAACCCCAATTCTTATATTGATAGCCAAATAAACTGGTTCCAATCGTTTGAGGTTTGCAGACAACCCCATTATAGATACAAATGGAAACTTGATAGCCTAGAAGTCATTTCAGAAACTGTTCCTCCATTCACCCTAGCTGCCATACTCTAGTGTCAATAAATGCCAGTTCCTCTTCCTGCAATAAGCAATTGGCCAGAGGCACTGTTTGTGCTAGGCTCTGCCAGCCCTTGCTATTTTGTATGGCACAGAAGGACAGACATGGTGGGTGATGGGGGAAAGTGGGATACAATGTGGGCACACATGTACTCATGGATCATACTGGAGAGATGCTTGTGTGCAAAAGTCATATCATCAGGACGACTGCTTTATATGACCATTATATTCATTATATTATTCATATTATATTAATTATACTTATTATACAGTATAAATGACCTTGGGTTAGCATAATTTTTGTACAGATAATATTTTAGCCACAGGGTTGAGTTTTGCCTATCAGATTTCCCCAAGGCAAGGCACAAGAAGCTCAGAGCTCTCTCACAAGCCTAAAAACTTTAAGGGGTGACTACGGCACTGAGAACAGGCCTTCTTCCCATTTCACAGATGGACAAGTAAAGGTGAGCTGCATAATAAAGGCAATTCAAAATCAGGCTTCAGTGGTCTCAGGTCTCCTGGTCCATGAGACCATCCTGAGCATTTGAGATAGGGATCTGGCTTGGGAGTGGCTACTTCTTTACTGAAGAGGCAAAGACAAGATCGTTTTTGGCTGCAGGTTTGGAATCCAACTGAGTTTAGGGCTGCTTATTCTCTCACAACAAATGCCCTATTTATTTCTGATGGATGTGCCCAAAGAAGGCCTTTTCCTTTGTTTGACTTTGTGAGGGGTTCTTGGAAGCAGGCGCTTTCTTGCTGTTTCAGAAGACCCACAAATTCTTCAGGTGACATGGTAGACGAGCCCTTAGTCCCTGATATGTGTGTGTGTGTGTGTGTGTGCGCTTGCACTGCACACGAAGAGGTAGGTGAGATAGCGCCTCAGTCCCTCTTCATCTGATGTGCATATGCAGAGTCCCTGTTTCTTCCCTAATTAATTAGAAGTAATAGCTTTCCATAGTTTCTGGTACGTGAGGGAGTGAAGTGGGAAATAATTTAATTGGCTGTCTTGCTTTCAAAGCCCAGTTTAATGAAATAGTTCTCAGTCTGAAGTGCATGTATTATCTTTCCTGTTATTTTTCCAATTAACATTTCATTGGATCACGTCTGTGTGGAATATTCTAATTGGCTTGAAGGGTGGGGGTGATGGGACAGGAACAGATGGAGAGATAACCAGCTGTTTCCTTCATCACCAGTGCCTGCGTATGTCTTGATGTGGTTGTAGGTTTTCCCCAGTGCCTTTCCTTAGAAGAGCTCAAAGAGATGGACAGAGCGCTGCCTTGTCACCTCACCCATCCTTGCTGAGCCCCTGGGACAGAAAGGCAATGTCCTCTCACAGGCAGACTAATGGAGCACTGGGTTCCCTGCAATGTGTGACCCCAAGGGGGAAAATGAGTGGCTCCCAAAGCTTCCTGTGAGCATCGTCTCCCTGCAGGCAGGGACTCTGTTTAGCCCGGTGCAGAGCAGACACTCCATATAACTACTTGTTGAGAGAATGAGTATCCAGAGGGATCTCATGGCACTCCCTCAGCAGCTCTTCCTCTTGTGAAGAAAACAATGCATAAAAGATGGCTTGAAGCAGGATGGGCACTGGGGTGAGACAAACCAGGCATCTAGGGCAGACACCAAAGGGGCTCACTCTCAGCAAGCACAACGTCAGTGTTTGCACAAACCTGAGTGAGTGCCTTCTTAAATTCTGCACCCTCGATGCCTTGGTTGGTTCACCCTAGTCCCAGGCCCTGCCTGAAGCAAAGCATTCTCTGCTCCTTCCTGTCTGCTCCCTCCTCCCAGGGATGCTGGGCCTCAGACAGCCTGAGACCAGCCCCACACTCAGCTATCTCATCCTTCAAATGCTTCTCGTGCACTGTCGGAGCTCCTCATGATCCCCAGGGAGGTCTGAGTGCAGCTGGGCTGCTGCTCTATGTCTTAGCCTTCTCCCCTTATGGTTCTAATTCCAATGTCTATTTTCCCTTCTCTCAGGCATTTCTGACCAAGCACTCAGCTGTTTTAAGGATCAAGCCATGTTTTCTGGGTTAGCCAAGGACAAACAAGAGCCTGGAGGCAGAGGAGAGACTCCTGTGCGTGGCTACATGGCCTGCTGTCCAGAGGCCTGGCTTCACATTTGTCCTGATGAGAAGACTGGCAGGTTCTCTTCAGGACCACTCCCCAGTCGTACAAAATTACCTCTCTCCTCGGAGAACCGGTGGCGGGGGGCCCATCTCAGGGGAGAGGCACAGTTTGGGGTGTGGGCACAGGGGGCCTTGGGAAGCAACCCTGAGGCAAGCCATGTGGCTGTGTGGCTGGTCCAGGTGGGGCCTTGTGGAATGGGGCCACAGCAGGCAGGGTGGGCAGAGAGGGGCCATAACCAAGTATGCCTCCAGTGTGGTGAGACAGCTTGGGGGGGCAACTTAGGAAGAAGTATTACCTCCTTTATGTGCACCTACGTGACCAAATCTATAAGGCTACCGCCTAACTGTGGAACCTCAGCCAAGACCTGGGGTATCAGAAACCGTAGGGACAGACAGGCTGGTGGAGACCCATACAGAGGTGTGTGTATGTACATATAATATACAAAAATATATATAAAAATATTTATTTATTATTATTATTTTCCCCTCTCTATTTCTTGCCTGACCCACGACAGGAAAAACGTAGCTGTCCCTGGCTGGTTTCTCTAGTCTGCTTAAACTGGCAAATCATGCTGGGATTTCAAGTCTGGCCCAGATCTGATGTTCTGCCTCCTTTCCTTTTCAGAAGGGCTCTTGAAGTTCTAGCTGCAAATTCTGCCTAGAGCTGCTTTCTACTGGGCTATGTAGTAGTTCCCTTTCTCTTCTTGTCCGCCAGGGTCCAGGCCTATCCAGCAAGGTGTCTAGGGGAAGGGAGAGCTCAAAGCCTACCACCCTCCACTGAGGCCAGGCATCACTTGGCAGGGAGAGCGGGTTTCCCTGAGATGGTTTTGGACTTCCAAGTAGCTGGGGCTTGAGGGTCTGCAACTAGCCCTGGGCCCTGTGATTCTACTGAGGTGACAGTACCTTACATTGGACAGTGCTTTAGACATTTTGGACTATTTCCAGACATCATCGCACTATGTCTTCCTGACTGTGATGTTGACTGGGCTATATTAGTGGCTCAGTTAACAGAGGAGGAAACTGAGGCCCAGATGAATTAAGTGATTTGCTCAAGGTCTCATTTACCAGCTGGGTCCAAAAGATTCAAGTCATGCTGAGGTCCTGAGCTCTGGCCTCTGACCTCAGAGCACCCAAATGAGCTTCCCTTCCAATGTGGGATAGGAGAGAAATCACCTGCAGGCACAGAGCCTGGGAAGCTGAACCCAGATTCCTCAGGAGAGCTTACTCTATCTTGTCAAAGTGCATCCAGGAATTGATTAGGGCAGCCCTGCAAAGACTCCCTGTCCTAGTCAGTCAGCCCTGTTCAAGGAATAGCAGCGGCTGGACAAGCAGAGAAGGATGCTTGTATTTAACTAGGGAGAGAATGTTCTGTGAGAATGGAGTAAAGGTGTGGAGCCAGAAGACTGAAGCTCCAGTCCCCAGAGCACTACTAGTGTTAGTGTGACCTTGGACGGGTCACTTGACCTTTCTCCTCAAATCCCTCATCAGTAAAATGGGGACATAAAGCGGATCTTATAGTACTGTTGAGAATAAAATAACAACGTATTTGTGTCTGTGCTATGTAAACTGTAGCATACTATTCAAACGGGAGTTATTGTTATTAATAATAATAAGGACAGAAAGATTAGGCCAATACTAAGATTTCCTATCTTGAACACAGATTTTTTTACTCTGTGCAAAGGAAAGGAAAAGCCCTTTGTAAGCTGTAAAGCACTGTGCACCTCAAAGGAATTGTCAGGAGGACTGAGGTTAGTGATGGGATCCATCAGGGGAGGGAGCACAGCTGGCCAAGGTGAGCAATGGCACTTCATCAGCCAGATGCATTCCTATAAAAGTGTTTGAGAATGGCCAAATAACCTTGGTTGTCCTCTGGCCACTGGGCTGGCAACTCTCCTGAAGGCCTTCCCTAGGCACATGTCCTACGAGGGAAATGGGAACCAGATGTACTCAAGATCTCAAAAGAAATTAATGGCAATAGACTCTGGGGTAAAAATATCTGTGTGCGCTGAGCTTGCTCACTCAGCTCCCTTTCTATCTAAGGATCATTTAGGCTTAATTATAGAGTTCAGGCGTTCATTGGGTTTTTGATTAATTTTCTTTTCAGCTTGAAGAGTGTGTGAGTGTAGTGGGTCTGTGTGTGTGTGTGTTTACATCTTTCTTTGCAACTCAGTGGGGAGCTGGCTCTGGCAATGTTTAATTGTGCCCTCAGTTCTAACAAGAACATTCGATGTGCCAACCGGAGCTCGGAAAGCCATTGTTCCCACTGCCTCTGCCCTACGGGCTGTTCCTGCCTCATTGAGGGATGGCGGGTGGCAGGGCCTTGCTCAGCTGGGACCTCAGCTGCGGGATGCACGCTTTCCTCCTCCTTTTGTGCTTATGGTGTTTAAGGGATTCTGAGACCAGGAGAGCAGATTTCCTACTCCGCTAATTACCAGCACTGTGCTAAGAGCTGCCAAGTGACAGCCAGCTCACCCACACTGCAGCCCCTGACAGGCATTTTTCTGGGCCAATCTCCCTGGGGATTACAAGATTCTCTGCATAAAGAAACAGTGTTTGTTCTCTTATTTGTAATCTGTTCACTTAGTAGACTGGTAGGGACTACGTGCCCGTGTAGGTGAAAGTGGCTTGCTTTCTCCTTTTCTTCCTTCTCTTTTGTGCCCTCTATGCAGGGAATAACTGGGGAGGCAGCACAGTATAGTATAACTGCATGAGATTTGGAGCCCAAATCCCCAGTTTGAATCCTGGCTCTTGGAATTTTCTGTTTGTGTGCCTATGGGTAACTAAATTAACCCCACTGGATCTCAATTTATTGTCTGTAAAATGGGAATAATAATAATAATATCAACAACAACATTACACTCCTCATAAGACTGTCTGGGGATGAGAAAGTGCATGTGGAAGCCTTTTGTAAAATACTCTATAAATCATAGTTATTTTATTTTACTGCTCAGAATTGCTGTTAGAACATGATTTTGACCTATGAGATATCATTTCTAGTACTCAGAGAGAGGGAGTTGTAAAAAGGCCCATGGAATGGGAGGTGGAGAGAGGACTAGCTTCGATCTTCCCACGTACTGTGGACCGAAGCCATGCCTTGGGAATGTACGATGCTGCAAAAGGCTTGGATTAAGAGTTCCATCTCAAAACAGCTAAATAAAAGGGAATTGGGAACATTTACTTTTTGACATAATTGTAATAAGGATTTCCCCCTACTCTTTAAAGGATGGATTCAATTGTCTCTAGTGCTAAGAGGGTGAATGGCTCAAGGATGGTGACAATGCTTTGGCTGGAGACAAAGAGATGACTGTGGGTCTCAGGTAAGTGTGACCGTGCTGTGACATGAGATTTCGGAAACCCAGGGTCTTCTCTTGGCTCTGCTTCTTATTAGGTATGTGACCCTCAATAGATGAAATAATTGAAATAGACGTCAATTTCCTGGAGATTGTGGAAGAAAAGATCTCAAAGGTGACTAAGGAATCTATGACCTTATGAAATGCCCTTTTCTACACAGGAATTAAAAACTCTTGTGCCACCAAGAAACCATTGGGTGTATGTGTGTTTAGAATCCAAATATAGTCCTAAAACTACCCAACTAAAACCTAATCAAGGCACCGAGTGAGCCCCTTTAAACTGATGGCATCTGGCGTCAGACCCAGAGACTATTAGGGGAAGAAAGGCCTCATGGGAGGATGGTGTTGACCCCAACAGAAGTTCTAGGGTGAATTCTCTCTTGTTGGAGAGCCTTCATTTGGCAATATCCTGACCAAGTTGAAAGGTAATGATCTAAGGATCACATAAAGAAAAGCGATCCTTTCCTTGTAAAATAACTATAACTTAAAAATAATCAGACAACAGAGCATTCTGCCAGGATGATTTCAGAACTGACTGATCCAACTATGGAGTTCACAAGAGTATCACTGACAATCATCATAATGTATATCTGCACTGTACTTTTAACTTTTACAAGCACTTTCCCATCTACTTTTCTCATTACATAATTTTCCAGAAGACTGGCCTGAGGTCATTTCTTTTAAAACTTTGAAAAGTGTGAGTTTTCAGTGAGAACAAATCCAGCTAAATCTGTTGCACCTTGTTTTACAAACACAGATACGCCTTTGAAAATGTTATGCTATATGTAAGTATAATTGTGTAAGTCATATCTTATTTTAATGGGCTGGGGGAATTTGAAAACAGAAATCTTGTATAGGATTTTGTAATGTAAATAATCCTTTTTCATTAATCTGTTGTTACAATTTTGGAATTTCAGATATCAGGTTTTCTTAAAGTGGAGCCACATGTAGATTCCAGGATCAGTATCCACTCTCCAGAATCTCCTAAGGGTGGCGTCTAGTTCAATCAGATGGAGAGACTGCTGTTCCTTATGTCAGTGTGGAAAGCGAGCAGCTTTATATTCAAGGCATGGAGCTCTCTGGGGCTACCTCTTCCATAAAAAACAAGGAAGCATGGAAAAGGACAGAGGAATCCAAATATAACAGCTGAATTATTTCTAAATGGAATGTCTCCAGGTCTTCTGAGTCACGGATGTGTCATTAATGTGCTTTTATAAATAGCTCAGCTTGCCATCAATACTAATCTATAATAGAGTAGCTGGTGTTTGGGGTGTGAGGTTAACACTACATCATTTGGAGTGAATTTGTTAACCTCCTCATGTAAAAAAAGCACCATCCTTTGGGACTAGAACCTTTGGGACTAGAAAGAAATGAGACTAAATTGTATTTTTAATAAAAGTTATAAATAAGTCCTCCTGCTTTTCTTTCTCCATCCTCAAACTCTGGCAGAAGACAGATCATTGGAGCCAACTATGGGACTATAATAATAGTTCTGAACCTCAAATTTTTCACCTCTGAAATTAGACTGGCAGTATCCATTCATAAAATTCACAGTGAGAGTTTTATAATTATTTTGCATGGGGAATCTTGAACAAGGATCTCTTTCTCTCTCTCATATATATACACACACATATATGTATGTGTGTATCTCACAATTTACATCATTGAGAATAAAAGGAAAAGCTCTTTTTTGGGTGATTTAAGCTAGAAGAGCTGGGAAAATCCTAATTGTAAAGACTGAAAACTTTAAAAGTTTTATACTGGCCTGACTAAAGAAAATATGGTCTCTTATCCTTACTGGTTGGATCTTGGCAATAAAGTCTTGCTTAATGTGAGTAGCTCAGATTTTCATTAAAGAGCTCTGAAGTGAAGTCTTATGAAGCACTTTCTCACAAATGTTCAAGCAGTTAAAGTTGAGCTTCTGTGAAATTGAGCTAAAATAAACACATACAGATACGCAATGTATGTACTGTGTATGCATAAAGGCTACAAGTACATATGCAGGTACTGCTGGAAAATCTCCTAGTAATTATGCTATACGCATGCTGGCATGCCTGCCTGCATGTGTGCATGTGCGTGTGTGTCCATGCATACAAATGTACATTCCAATCATTCAGAAACTAAAAAAAAACCCATAGAATGAAAATACTATTCTTATTTGTTGAAGTGTTTTTGAAACCCTACATGGATTCATGGCCTATTTATCTTTTTTTAAATTTAGGGCTGGTAATGGGAGCAGAATAAGCAGCTGTAAACAAAATTAGAATTCGGTTTTCACTAAAAACATGGTGAAGGCCCCAAACATCATAGCTACTGCAGAATACAGGAATTATCTATCCAAATACTGTGGCTGAGCATACTTTGAATAATCAATTTTCAGAAAGAGGTGGGTGGAAGGAACCATTGAGATTCACCATCGGTTAGTTCACATCAGCACCTGGGACAGTTCCCAAGAGGCTCCCCCTCAGAAGGGAGCCAATACCAACCTTTCTCCAGTTTTCTAAGTTTTTCTTTCACTCCAGTGAGTGTGTTGACAATCTGATGATCAGCTAATAAATGCACAGGTATTAATTTGTAATAACAACTTATTTCTTCCTCGTCCTATCACCCGTTCTCTTCACAACCTGACCGCCATTCCACCCCATTCCCCAGCACCCTCCAGTTAGACAGCGGAACTGTCTGTCTTACAAACACCTGGTGTGGATGTTTTCACTCCCACTTCTAATTGGTTGGGAAGCAGCATTTGCCACAGGCACTGTTTAACATCGTTTCCATCCCCTGCATCTCACAGGAAAGAAATGGTCAATAGTTCAGATAAAAGAATCATCCTGGTCAGCTCCAAAATATGGCTACTTGCATGGTAATCACAGCAAGTCTGTCAAATCAGTGATTTCTTTATTCCTAAAAGGAAGAACTTTTCCTAAGGATATGGTTCTACCGCCCAAGGAGCAGGCCTACTCTTCACAAGTGGCTGCATAGGCTGGCAAACCAAGAGGTCTGCTTTGGCTCAGAAACTCAGTTTGGCTCCTGCCACCCCTGGCAACCTCACTAAGTGTCTCACTGGTATGTGTGCCACACACAGTTAGGCCAGTCTGTTTCTACTTAGGAGGAATAACAACCAGAGGTGGCCCCCGCTTGGGCCTCCACATGAGGACCTGGGCATCATTGGCATTGGGTTTCACTAGTGCATTGGGGGGGATGGGTTCCATCCGGCTCAGGATCCGGGGCTGCTCCTGCTGAGTCCTGCCCACCAGCCGGGCCCGTTGCCCCAAGAGCTGAAGAGGGTCTACCTCAATGTCCACCCTCATCCTCCACTTGATGGTCTGCAGAATGATCTTCTCTTTCGTGGTGGTGTTCATGGCCACCAGCCAGGTAGTGAAACTTTGGTCCCTCTTGATCCTTGTGAGCAATGGCACATTGCTGTCACTCACTGGCACTGCCCACGTCACACTTGGGTAGAAGTTGTCATTCATGCTGACGGAGAACCTGGAGATCTTGTTGGTGGGGCCAACCAGGGTCACAGTCTCTGTGGTGTTCCCATACCAAGGGTAGCTCACCCCATCTGAGTCACTGATGGCTTTTACTCTCCCTTCCCTCAAGTCAGGCAGCTCCCAGCTTGACCTGGCAAAGCAGAAGAGATGCACAAGAAAAGAAGAGGCTGAATAAATTTTTCAAAAGCCAGAGAGGTGCCCACCACTTACTAACACAGTGAACTTGGGCAAAATGAGAATTTCAGAGGGGAATTCATGTCAAAAAGTTCTATGCTGTGCTGTTTCAGGATTAAATGGGAACAAATCAAAACAAAACAAAAATAAAAAAGCAATACTGAAACAAGTTAAATAAAACCATAGGTGGTCCAACTGGAAGTAGAAAGCTCAAAGAGGCATTTATGAGAGCCACGAAGAGGCATCAACTTGTTGGGATGGTACAATTGTAATAAACTGTTTAGAGGCATTCCACTGCAAGAACTACTTTCTTGGGAAGTATGAGTGTGCATAACGTTTGTTTATTGGGAAGAGGTGGTGGTTGAAATTCTATGTATTTGGAAGGAAGTATCAGGTGGAAAGGAGGGCAAAAGGAGGCAAAGTTAAAGGTTATACTAATTTCCTAGAAAATACAGTAGTGTAATTTCTACTCAGTGAAAAAGGTTGTTTAAATTCCAGTCATCGGCCAATCTAGCACTTAGCAAACAGGCATAAAAACTGATAACACAAGGAGATAATGGTCACTTTCTGGAAACCACCTCAATATGAAAGTTGTGCTGAAGGCTGGGACACACAATCTCTAATATGATGGTTTCCCATTGGCTTCAAGTCCAGCCTGGAAGTCTAATTGCTTAGTTGGCAAACTTGCCATTCTGAGCATCTTCCTACTCCTCCTGACTGTCTTCAACCTTGTACAAAAGGAGAAAGGAGGACATGTGCCCCACTCTTAGCCCATGCCTCCCCCCTTGCCATGGACTGTTCATCAGTATCATTATTATCATCATCATAGCTGATACTTATTGAGTGCTTACTCTATTCCAACCACTGTGCCAAGTACTTTAACCATGTTACCTCAGTTAATGCTTAAAATATTCCAAAAGATAAATGAATTATTATTTCATTTTACACATGAGAGGATGGAGGCTTAGGGATGTTAAGGTACATGTTGAGGGTTCTATAGATTTTAAGAGGTGGAGCTGGGAGTTGTCTGATTCCAAAGTCTATGTTTTGGACCACTAACTATACCATACTGTCTCCTGAAGTGCCCTTCCATGATGTTGGAGGAAGTCAGAGTGGAGGGGACTCATGCTGTCCAATGAGTTAGCAGTTACCAGACAGCCGTGGGGAGCTAGACTGGACCCTAACTTAAGTGGCAGAAGATTAGTCAGCAGAGCCTGGCTATACACTCTCCATATATCCACTGCTGGGATCAGGAATGATTCTTGGCAATATTGCATAAGAATTTAATAAGTGAAGAAAGAAATGAGACTGTTCTATTCATCAGCTAAGAGGTGGTAGCCTTGTCCGATATGAAGTTCTTCCTCTTATGAAGTGACAGAAGATCCTGCAGTGCTTTAGATAAATGGCCTTAAAGGGAGTTGCATTGTCAGGTTCATGCTGAAACGTCTCAGCATCCTTTAGTGTCATATGGGGACATGGAGACACTAACCACTACCTCCTCTTGGCCCCCCCACAGCACTCCCTATGCTGGTCAGTCCCAACCTGAAGGGAAAGGAGGGCAGCACTGCCGGGAGAAGGTGAGCCCACAGCTGCAAGAACCTTTTTTCTCTTGTCTCCATGCCCTTGATAACTGCTGGGAGTAACTGCAGTATATCATGGTTGGCAGACAGCAGGGAACAGGAACTGACCTGAGGCAGAAAGTGAGAGAGAGTCCATTTTGCTATACATGCAAGCTGAAGCTGTGCCAGGGAGTAGCTCCCAGATCATTCTATAGCCATTTCTTTCTGTACAAAAGGCATTAAGTGTAGTTTGATTGGGATATAATCACTCATGGGTCAGAGGTCAGACACAGTCTGCTTGCTGGTTTTATGAAATGGTCATACTGGAGTCAGCTTCATGCCCCCAGCCAAAGGCTTGAGACAATTATTCAGTCACCAGGTATTTATCTTCTGTGTTGCCTCAACCCTGTTCTTCATTTTGGTTACAGTGACCAGACCCTGCTGGTCTTTGGGTTCCTCTGTGGGACCAGAGGACAAGTATTCCCAACAGCGTAAAATTGTACTTGCTCTCCCAACCTAAACACTATGCAAACTGTAGTGTATTCCCTGGGGAATCTGGTTTTTGATTCTATTGTAACACCGTCCTTTTCAGGACTGGCTATCTTGTAGGTCAATTCAGTTACTCAGTCTAGAGTCTTTACAGTTCGTATTTTTGCCCCCATCTTCCTGTCCAGAGCTATGTGACCAGAGACTTGAGTCTAGGGCCTAGAGGTCAGTCTTGTGGGAAAATCACCAAGCTTAGTTTGGTCTCAGATTTTCTAAAAACAGCGATAATAGTTACACTCTTGTACCTGCCCTGGGAGAGAAGGAAGATACCCTTGTCTTGGAGGGTTCTCTGGAATAGAGAAATAACACAGGCTTCTTAATCATCACATCGGAACAAGGGCATCAGGCCGAGCGTAGCCAATGGGCATGGTGACCTTGGGAGTCTATGCACTCATTCCATCCACACTGCTATCACTGCTACCACTGCTCTATTGAAAATCTCTGGGGTCTGAGGCAAGTCCTCTGTCGGAGCCCTGGAGACCCCAGGGACATCATTAAGGGACGGTTTAATTTTGGAAGTAGCCAAAACTCATTATGACTTAAGTCTAGTGACTGGGGAGCAGGTTACTTTTTTGAAAAGTGTCATATTTTTATTTCTTTTATGAAAAATAGGTACTACTGTGTATTCCAAGACAGTGGCTTTTTTTTTGCAAAAAGAGTTATGCCTATAAAATGCATGACTGGCTTATACAGCTCATAAATTGGCGTTGACAATGGTTTTCAAAGAAGTCCCTGAAAAGTTCTAAGAATGACAGCACCACTGGAGCCACTCTAGGACCACCTACTTTGAGTGGGATACTGGAGGCACTTCAAATTCCACATGGACCAAACCAAACTGATCACCTCCGCCATAAACTAGGCCTTTACCCCTATCTCTGTGGCAGGGGGTGGCCCATTGCTCACTCAGTCTTCCAGGCCAGAAGTGATGGTCATCTTTGGCTCTTCCCACGCCCTCTCCTAGACTGCCACAGCTACTGTATCACTGCATCCTGTAAATTTTGCCCCATAACTCATGCTTGAATTTATCTCCTTTTCTCCATCCAACTCTCATTACCCTCATTTAATCCAAGCCCTCAGCATCTCTACCCTGGTCTGCTGTCTGCTGTAATGGTCTATAACTGGTCTCTCTGCCTCCAACCCTGATCCTTCTCAAATTCATTTTTAGGCTGTGTTGGTGTTCAAGCACACAGATCTGATTATGTCCTTTCTATAGCTAAAACCCTCCAAAACCTCTGCCACATGGATGTCACTGGCATCACTCACAGGATAAAATTCAAGTTCCTTAATAGGACATACATGGTCCTCCGTGGTCTGGCCTCCCCAGCCCCACACACCATGCTATTTCTCACTTCTGTCCCTTTGCTCATGCTGTGCCCTCTGTCTGCACTGCTCTTTCCCCTCCTAAAGTCTCACTGTATCTAACTTCTCATCCTTTGAGAATCATTGCATGCATCACCTCCTCCAGGAAGCCTTCTCTTCTGGGCTCCCATGGATATATCAAGATCTTTACAGGTCCCAAATTATAATTATTCATTTATGTGTCTGTCTTCCCCATTACACTATGATTTCCACGAGGCTTGGGACTGTGACTTACTTTTTTTTTATTTTTTGAGGAAGATTAGCCCTGAGCTAACTACTGCCAGTCCTCCTCTTTTTTTGCTGAGGAAGCCTGGCCCTGAGCTAACATCCGTGCCCATCTTCCTCTACTTTATATGTGGGACACCTACCACAGCATGGAGTGCCAAGCGGTGCCATGTCCGCACCCGGGATCTGAACTGGTGAACCCTGGGCTGCCGAGAAGTGGAACGTGCGCACTTAACTGCTGTGCCACTGGGCAGGCCCCACATGACTTACTTTTGAATCATTAGTGTCTAGTACATTTTGGCACATAGTAGATCTTAACAAATCTTTGTTGAAGGAAAAAATAGGTATTTTATTTGAATCATTTTCATGCCTATATATCTGGAACTTGGTAGAACTTATATACAACAAAGTACTTTATCAGTTTTACACTTTATATATTCACTCACCTTTTTAAGAAAACTAACATCTACTATTCATTTAGGATCTATTATTAGAATAGCACCATGCCTAACACTGAAAGTTATTTATCCCTGAGGGAGAGGTGGACAAACCACACATAAATAAAACTGAATGAATTGGTGAATATAAACGTACATACTGACTATTCATGCCATCATATATCTACATACAAAAATGAGTGACACAGACTCCAAGTGACACAGGAAGTCAGAGACATGGACATCCATGCAGGCTATAGTAGGCGAAAGCTTTGTGGACGAAATGGGATATGAACTGTTGGGAATAAAGAAAGGCTCTCCCAGGTGGGGGCAGGTTCCATCAAGGGCAAACGTGTAACATCAAGCATGAACATGGAGTGTCCAGGAACCGGAGGCACCATCTGGGAGGGCTAGCGATGGGAAGAGTGGAGACAACGCTGGTGGGCAGGGGAGTGTCAGTCTGTGAAGTGCCTTTAATAATGGGCTTAGGCACTGGGCTTCATCCTAGGGGTGGTGGGTCTTTTGAACAGGAGAGTTACGTGTCAGGAAGAAGGGTAATGTAAAAAGGAGAATTAGAGGGCTACAGGGACGGAATAAGGCCTTTTAGGAGCTTTTGCAACATTCTAGGCGATTTTAATAAGGCTTTCATTGAGGCTGGTGGCTGAACGAATGGAGAGGAGTGGCCACATACAAGAGATACTGCAAAGGCAGATTCTCCAAGGTTTGGTAACCGATTGCTTATCAGAGGCTAAAGGGGAGTTAAAGTAAAGCAATCATTGAGAAGAGGCAAGCACAGTTGACTGGTGTGTCTGTGTGTGTGTGTAAAATCA